TTTTAGCGAATCCTTATCAATGTTTCCTTCCATTATGATGGGTAATTAAAAACTATGTTTGCAAATAACAATTATTTTGAAAAATATAAACTCTTAGGAATAGGAAAATCCTGGATACACCACTACTTTGTATTAGGAGGTTTTGAAACCATTTTCAATTATTTTGCTTCATTTGAAAATACTTAAGTAATTTTAACACTCTTGTTAATTCTAGACTGTGTATACTCCAGGTGAAATAAAAAAGAAACAGGTGAAATGCAATGGTGAGGGCAGTGGTAAACAAGAAAATGTTGAGAGCTGGGTTGGAAAGGGTGTTTCTGCTTTGTTCTCCTGGCATTGCTGGATGGCAATGAGGAGATCAATCAACCACCTACAATGTTGTGGATGGCCTTTTTGGGGAGCTCTTGTATTTGCTTCTTTCAAGTATTTACTCTTTGTAAACTAGGAGCCTGGTTTTGACCTTGCCGCTCTTCCTAAGGTACTAATTAACATGGTACTGTGAGCTGAGACTGAAGCTGTAACTGAAAGGTGAGGATGGGTACCATAACAGGGAAAAAATAATGTCTTAAAGCTTATAACTGTCAAAAAAAAATCCAGTAACTAATAATCGCTATTTCATAGGTGTATCATAAAGCACAAAAATATATCTTCCAAGTCCCTATAATAAGCTTCTACCCAAGGCATGAATCTTTGCCAGCAAAATGAGAGGATCTTTTGATGAGGTACATTTTTGGGTGTAGCAATGGCCTAGGATTAGAAAAGCCAGGTGAAAACTGTGCTGTGAAGCAGAAGTATGCTAGAGCCTGGTCATATGACTTGTTGAGAGCTGACTGAATTTTTATCATTTTTAATTTTAAAAAATTATTTAAACATTATTATTTTTATCAAAGTCAATTGACGTTACATTGCTTGAAACTAGTCACGGTGGCTGTATTTATATTTACATCATAGAAACTGAGAGCTAGTTTGCCAACATACCACCGTGTGGTGGACAGCAAGAGTGCTTTGGATAGACTTCTGGTTCTACAACCTCGGAAAAGTTCCTTCACTTCTCTAGTTTTTTTCAACTGGTAATGCTACTAGTATTGGCACCTCATGTCAGGGACTGACGTTGATAACAGGTGTAAAATATTCAGCATATCAAGTAATGGACAAATATTAGGCACTCTATCAAAGCTAACTGTAATCTGTCACACATTGGTAGTTTATGTGATGTTGTCGTTAAATGTCAAAGCAGTTTTAGTGCAATAACAGAGGAGCAAGGGTTTGGAAAAAAAGAAGTGGAGAGTGTCAACAATTTCACAATAACATAAATATATGGAGAACAAGTATGCTTTTTTTATTGACTCTTCCCCAGCTAACCTCAATGCAAAATTTCTACTAACTCAGCATACACAATTTACTTAATCTTCTATACAAGTATCCTATAACTAAAAAGTGTTAGAGAAGTACTATGATTGCAAAGAACCCCACATTTACAGTAAATATTAACCCTATTGTACAAATGTACAGCCTAGGCTCAATCTGTGAGCAGTATCCCCTGGAATTATCCAACACAATAGCCCTTTACAAAGCTCTAAGAAGCTAGACCTTACTTATAACTGATCAGGAATCTCAAAATGACAGCAAATACAGCCCATTGAGCTGTTTTATTTGGACAGTATAGAGTTTTTGTTCTTCTTTTTCCAAAAATCTGAATATAAATGCCTTAAGTCTACCATTCCTCATTTCTTATATGCATAAAGTCTAGAGAAAAACAGAAGCAAGCTTCCAAGAGTCCTTTCCCAGTGAAGTCACACAAGATGCAATTAAGTTCTCCAGCAAATACGTTGTAAGACCATAAAGAGTTTTCTACCAAGTAAACTTGTTACATGTCAGTACACATGGTTTTTACCAGGGGCTAGTCACATAAGCAACCCTATGTCTAGCACATTCTAAAATTCCAGACTCCCAAAGGGAAAAGAGGTGTTTGACATTAAACAGACTGTTCACACAGTTTAGGCACAGCAAGCTACTCTATCTGTAGGGAAAGTTTTATTTCAGTGTAGGAAACTGTCTCCCAGTAAAGTTTACAGATGCCAGGCTAGGCTTAATCTTGCAAGCAGGACTTTCCAAGAATGGCAGTCTCAGACCTGCTCTGTTAACTCCATTTGCACACCTACCTGTAACTTTTCTTCCCTGACAGCCAAGGGGAGCCTCATTCCAAGGTCTCCACCTAACACTTCAAGCTCTTCCTTCTCTCACCCAAAAGCTCCCCATTTACCAACTACAAATGATCCCCACTGCTCCAGTTAAGAAAATAATTCAACCTTTATCTAGCCAAACAAAAGTCGATTTATTTTCCCAATATTATTAAATATCACTTTACCAGTCAGAGCTTCTAGTTAGCATGAATTAGCCAGGATCTACACTGAGATATGATTCCTACCAGAGGTGGAAAATGAGACACTTTAACTACCCTTTGACTTTGTCACATGAATATATAATTTTCTTTTGACTGTTGGAAATACTGAAAATTATTCAATGGCTCATTACTACCCTGAAGACCCTTCTCATTTCTCACTTCCAATCTTGTTTAACAACGTTCTGGGTGTAGGCTATATGGATTTAATATCTAAGTTTCCCAAGAGTGGTCAGCCACCAGGGACTAGGGCAGAAAGTGTACTCGCTGCCAGTTCACTGCTCAAGATCTGCTTCTTACCCACGTGTGAGGGTGGACCTGACCCTGGACAGCCTGCAGCATTCTTTCCAGATCCCTCCTTCAGCACCCAGGAAGCACTGCACTCTTTCCTGGAAAGGTCCACAGCCTCAGAAAACAAATATTCTCAGTTTCTGTCAAGTTTACACATACCGATACTGGGGGAATTTGGGGGTTACTACTGCTGTCAGCAAGGAGCTGAGCAGAGTTTAGCAGTCTCCACCTGGTGTTACAGTCAAGTCCTGTAGCCCATGCTAGACTCCATGAATCCCCTCAAGGGCCTGACTGCCTCCTAAGGAACCTACTGCCTGTACCAAGAAAAAGTAGAACTCCTTGACATTGATGGGGCAACTAAGTGGGAACAACCGGAGCCTAAGCATGGCCTTGGTTCCTCTGTAGTGGACTTACCAATACCTAGAAAGTTTAGCATTGTTCTGCCAGTCTGGGCACTGAAGAGGACCATGGTCAGTCTCCAGTAACAACAGATTGCCTTAGAAGGATCCAGATTGCAAAATGGGAGACTGTCAGCTAGGGGTTGGCAAGGCCTTGATGGTGGAGGCCAGAAACCAATGGGCTACTTGGCCATTCTGGCCCTTTTGAGCAGCATATTTCTGAGTCCTGAGACCAGCCTCAAAGCTGCTGCTTTAGCTTAATAACTGGAAGAGGGGAAGGATATATGATATTATGTCATAATTCACTTAAATGCTAAATAGGAATTTAAGCATCTATTTATGGAGGCCTTGTTCTGATGACTCTCCTTTATTTGATTAAAGTAGTTTAAATAGTACATTTGGCATTTGTACAGAACATTCTTCCAAATGGTGGCATTTGAAATACAAACCACTAGGATTGCTAGTGCTGTTTAGAAGTTTCAAGCAACCTAAGTATAGGTTTTATCTTCTTAAGCTGGAACTGGGTTAAAGTAAAGATTGTAGAGCCAGGCCAGCAGTGTCAGTGCTCAGTCTGTGGGGCTGCTGCTCCTCCCTAACTGCCTTCCAAGGAAATGAGAAAGCATTCATTTTGATCTAATGGTGGGAAATCTCCTCCCCAACTGGCAGGGCTTGGGGTAGGACTCCAAATTGAAGAATACTGGTAAATAAATCTCAGTTATCTCTTTCAGCACTCAAGGAGGAAAAAGCAAATAGCATTCTTATAATTATCATAAACTTTAGATAAGTAAAAGTCCTGTTCAATCAATTGCAATTTCCACAAAAAAAAAAAACACAAAATGACTTTCAAAATAGGAATAAAAACAATACCTGATGTTTTAATTCATATTCAGCACAATCTCAGCACATTTAAATAGAAAGTGAATGCCCATTAAAAAAAATAGAAGTAGAAAAGCTTTCTTCTAAGAAAGAAAAATAAATAGCAAGATTAAAATTATTTTCATTTTAAGCTTAAGATAATGACTTCAATAGGCGAGCCACATTCCATGTCATTTATAATAAATAACAAAAAATCTGCTTGCCACAAATCCAAAGAACTGTATATTGCTGGAAAAATGTAAAATAGGGCAAGCACCACAGGCAAGTGGAACCATGCAGTTTTACTTAGCCTACAAACAGATTTTCGATTACTGACAAAGCCAAGTTGAACCTAGTTTATTATAAAAAACCTATACAAAGTTTATTTAACCAAATGTAGTCTGCCTCTATGATCTCTCTCAACACTATGCCTTGCAGATGAACATTAGCCAATTTCTCCTCAAATATTTAAGTGGATTTTGAAGTAGTAATCCCCAAAACACACAAAACTACATGCTAAGTGTCTAAATTGAGCAGTTTGGAGAATATTGATCATATCATTCATGATTTGCTAACCTTGAAGATAATTTTTTAAATTCCATTATTTTCTTCTTTAAATGAGAGCTTAAATATTTATTTGATGAGTAACAATTTCGGTAAAGCATTAAAAGGTTCATGGGCAAGTATAAATTCCAGGTGTACAAAATGCCTATAGGGCCTAAGGAAGCTAGGAATGTAATATAACAGGAACCAGAGTTTGAATGCTTCATCTAAGGCATTCAAAATCAAATAACGAACACAGTATGGGTTACACAACACTTTAAGTTCCAAATGAAAGCTTGAAACCAGAATCTGAAGATTTTTTTCCCTAAATATACTTGCTTCCTGCCACAAAGTCTATGTAACAGATTCTTTACAGATTTTAATTAATGCAAAGTAGCTTACATACAGGCTATGCCACTCACCTGGAGATATTCCTTGTCATATATATGGGATTGCAAATAATTGTTTTAGTTACATAAAAACGAAATACCATGACTGAAGTAGCATTTTACCTGCTTAAGAAATCGATCAGATGCATTGCTGTGCTTGGCTAACACACTTGGCAGAGAAGGATTAGCATATTCAAACTGAGGATTGTAGGTATAGTCAGACTTGAAGAATCTCAGTTTTTCTTTCTCCAAGTTGATGGGCTTTATAGCAGTCAATATACAAAATTTCTTTCCAGAAAAATCATCTCCTTTTTCAAAACTTCTAGACAGCTGAGGCTGCAGCTTTGACTTTGGAAGAGTAGAGATATGGCACTGCTTGACCTTGTTTTTGGGTTTAGGTGGCAGTACTATGCTGTTCCCTGTAACAGAGATATCATGTATAAACTTTACAGGACTGGACACTGAACTAGTGACAAAAACAGCAGGCTGCCTTTCTAGGCAGTACCAAGTGCTACTGCTCATCACAGGCACTGGGGCTTTCATCTTGCGAAGATCTTTACTACGAGAAGAACTAGGAGATTTGCTGGGTTTTCTGTGTCTTTTGGAGTAGGTGGAGGAAGACTGTTTTTGTGAATGATGCTTCTTTTCCTCTTTGCTCTGTAGTAGGACATTGTAACTGCTGGTTCCAGTTGTGAAAATGTCCTTTAGTATTCCAGAAGATAAATGTGAAATGCTTCTTTTGCTGTCAATGATCAATGACTCTTCTGCATTTAGAATAGACCTCTTAGCAAGTTCTTGCTCAGGCCAGTGAAGCTTTTCTGTGTTAATAAACAAAATCAAAACAAAAGAAATAACAAAGATACCACATGAAGTAAATTGCTTATTATATGAAAAATATTCTGTAAACTTTATAATTTCTCAACAATCTTTAGAAAAGATATTTTAAATATTAAAAGGAGATATTACCAAACTTTGGTCAAGCTAGACACAGTCACTTCTATTTAAGTGTATATATGTTAAATTATCTATAAAAACCTCAGCCTCAAACCATTTAGATGATCAAAGTTTAATATAGATGTGAGGCAATATACAATAATATGAATACTCAACTCTATCAAGAAATGTGATTTCATAGAAAGGATATAATTTTCAATAGTATTGCCAATACCAAAGTAAAATCCAAGGCACTTGCAAGCCCATACAATCTTGAAATCTGATACTATATATAAAGGCAGCCATCAGTAAGAGAAGAACAACACTGTCTTACCTCAAAAACCAATTTTTAGATTAAATAAATGATATGTATATATTCAATTCATGTTTTAGTATTGTCATTCAATATTGATTGATTTTCTTAATTCTAGGCTATAGGTTAAGATTAAAGAAAATCAAGTTTTTTTCTTCCTAAATCTAAAAAACATAATTACCATTACACAGATATCAGATGGGAAAGTAAGGAGGGGTCAGCTTTGCCTTTAGAACTCACAAGTGCTTCAAAGAGGTAAGAATCACTTCATATATTGTTGCTCACATACTGATTTAAAACTGTGTTGATTTGCATTCTTTCATTCCACAAATACATGGAATAGTACTAATTGGGTAATGGTTCTAAAAAACATCTGTATAAATACATTGTTCCTGCTTTCAACCAACTTCTAATCTGGCTCTGAAGGTAAGGTAGTCCTATGAAGATCTGAATACAAGGTAGTATGAGTTTAAATGTGAAAAGATATAGACAATAACCTAGAATTAACAGACGAGAAAAATGTGAAGAGAACAGATGAGTTTTCAAGTAGACCCTTAACAGCTTTCAGATTCAATTCTAAACTGACACAGTGTTTGAGTTTGTCTTAAACCCTGCTTATTTGAACTAGACTCCAGCCCAAATTCTATTTATAAATCTGAACTCTGACCAAGGCTGCTTATAAACCTTTTCTAAATCTTTTCTGCAAATGTGATGTGATTGTCTCAACCAGTCTTTGTTTCCAAGTCTCATGGACCCTTATGCCTCAAGCCCTCAATCTTTGGCTCCTCCTGTGGAGGCAATTTCAATCCTAGCTGACTTTGACAGCTGCCTGCCTTGCCAAGAAACAGACATTTTATTGTATTTCAATTTTTTTTAAAACTGTTTATTCACATCTGTCATTCAGTCATTCAAAATGATAGACATTCAGAGATCCCTTCTATAATAAGTAGTAATAAGTAACAATAATAGCCACCATTTGTTGACATGTTCATTTGAGTTTGAGATTTCAGCAAACACTGTGTAAGATAAATTCTAACCGAAATAAGCAGGCGACGAGAGGCAACAAAGGGCCAGGCAGTTTATTTGAGCGCAATACCAGGCGAGGTTCACCAGTCTGAAACACAGGCTGGAGAAGTCGTGCTCAGCAGGGAAGGCAGCGAGTTTTTAATGAAGCTAAGGGGAGGCAGAGTTTAGATTTACAGTGGTGCGAGGATTGACTAGCCTAAGGCACATTTTTCAGGTTGGGAGGGGGCAGCAGCCGGGGACTTTGGCATGTCATCATTGTCTGACGTGCTCACCCCTCCCTCCGGTGCCTCCAACCTTACACATTGTATGTACATGTTATCTTACTTAAGCCTCAGAGATGTTAGGTAATTTGCTCAAGGTTATTAATTGGTAAAGTTATAAACAGCAAATCATGATTTGAATGCAAGTATGTCTCATTATAGTCCATGCTTCTTCTATTATGAGTATGGTTACTCATTCAAAGTAGACATTCAGTATTAATGCACTGCACTGCACCTTTTCTTCTTCTGCACAGGATCTGGCACCCCAGTAAGACATAATTTGAATAGCTGACGTACTAAGATAGGTACCAGGACCACATTATTCATGTCTTTTTTTCCAACATCTAGCATGGTATCTAGTGGATATTCAATAAATGTACACAGAGTAAATGAATGAATGAATGAAGTGATGATCCTTAATAAGCCTTCTCCAACCATTCTAGCTAGATAAGAATTTGTGCTTCTGGGACCATTCTGTATTTCTATGAGGGGATCACTGCAGAAGTGTAAATATAACAGAGAAAACCCTGAGTAGTTCTCAACCAGAGGCAGTTTTGTCCCCCCTCACCTCAGGGGACATCAGGCAATGTCTGGAGACATTCTGATTGTTGCAAATAGGAAGGGGTACAACTAGCATCTTCTGGGTAGACAGCAGGGATGATGGTGTTAAACATCCTTTGACATATAGAACAGCCTTCTACCACAAAAATGTTCATCCTAAAATAACACCAAGGTAGAGAAACCCTGTCCTAAATATAAATTTTTAAAGCTCAGAAGTAATAGGGTTTAAGGTAAAGAAACAGTACCAGGTCAAGGCAGATAATAAACAATGCAAATATGTAAAGTACTTAAAAGTCCTTCTAGTTTACATTGTGTAGGCCAACATGTGAAATTTGAATTCTAGTTCCTAAAAGACAACATAAAGTATGAACTTGTATGAGCTAAATAAAATGTCTACTACACATACAAGCTGAGAGGTAGGAGCTAAACTGCACAGGGTCATGTTGAAGGTTGGTTGCACAAAGAAGCCATTTAATAAATGCTAAACCAGCCAAGATAAAAAGAACAAACAAAACTTTCATCAACGGCTTGTAGGTCCTAGTTCCCCAGGGGTTTCAGACTTAAGTGTTGCCAAATGATAGTCAAAACTGGACAGGCTGGGCAAAAATAGGCAAAGGAACACCAGAACACAGTCTGCAGTCCAAATTCCCATAATGTCAGTTTTCCTAAAAAGACACCACAAGTTTAGGACACAAGAGGTGATAACGAAAGTAAGACTGAAACAGATGCTGAAAAGGAAAGAGGAGCAAGAGAGCAAGAGAACTGAGATAAGAGTAAGGGTATCACAAACCTAGAAAAGTCAGGTAAGGACGAGGCTCACCTAGGAAGGTAAGGGGAGGTAATCAGGATCTTTTCTCAGTCCTCATAATAAAAAGGGAGAGGTTACATCAAATTAAAATCAGTGAATAAAATTACTCTAAAGAATTCCTAATTTTGATGGTTCACTACATGTTTTATGCTGATTTTAAAAAATGAATATTCAACGTAAAAACACTTTTTTTGGTCCTAAGACTTAGTAGCTCTATGACCACAGAGATGAGCTCATAGATTTGTTTTGTCCTAAAGTATCAGTTACCTCTAAATTCATAATTTTGTCCTCTTTCAAACAACCTACACACTTTAGGATACTTAACAAAGTCCTAAACCATCTGCCAAAACACTCAGAGAGGAGTGGGGGTGGGAGAGAGGTCACTGTGTGTGTGTGTGTGTGTGTTGGACAGACCCCTTTTTCTCCAGAAGCTGCAGCATTTCCGTTTACTTGCTAATGATCTACCTAAGAGGCTTAGCATTAGTCCTTTTTAAGCTCCCTCTGTTGATGAGTAAAGTTTGGGGGGCCACTGATTCATTTCCTTAATGAGCGACAATCCTCCCAATGCTGATGTCCCATGAAGTTCATAAAGCTGGAGCGGGTGGTCAACCAACTCATACAAGATTGATATAAATTAGTTTGTCACAGTCACACTTATCTTATTTTAGTTATATTTAAAAGTATCAGAGAACCTAAAATACTGTTTTTAACTTTAAATGCTATTGTTGAGGATAAAACTTTAAACATGCATAAGAGCATAATAAAAGGCCAATAAAATTTCACTGAAGAGCATCCTAGTCTCCTAACTCCTTTCCCGAAAAAATCAAAAGTTTTGAAAAAGCACAAGCAGGCTTCTTTGGGGGAACTATAATTCATTTTCCCTCAGAAAAGTAATAAGGTAATTAAAAATCATACTTTCTCATATTAAAAGTCACTAATAATGTAACATTTCAGCCATCAGTAATCTACTTCACTATATAACCTTGGAATAAATGAAAATAATTGGTTGATGAAAGAAATCATTCACCCCAACCTGATTTTCATTTTGTCAAAAAAAGGAAAATTGTATTACATTAAAACTGATACTCAATGTATTCACAAGCAGGTGAACATACTGAAATTACCAACACAATGAAAGCTTAATTTGTATCTAGAACAGGAGAAAAGGATACCAGGATTCCTGGCTTCCATTCCCAGCTCTTTCAATGACCTCTCTGTAATATTAGCCTAATCACTATACCCATCAGAGCCTCATGATCCTCATCTAAAGGAATGGGAAAAAGAGCAGAACACTGCTCACTAAACTCTTAGGGTTTCACAACTGTGAACAGGTAAGGTTTCACAGTAATTATGAGGTCCCTGGCTGAAAGGAAGATTAGATCATCAGAAACAAAGCCTGGTGGAAAATACCATTCAACCAATTTTGACCTACAAAATGGCAATTTCATATGGGTCACTAATACTTATGAATCCTGAGAACCTGGGATAACCTTATACCACAAAATAATAGGTTGCTTGATTACAAACAGAAGAAAATAATCCCCAAACATAAACACTTTAATTTTATCAAGTAGTTCACCATTGTGGATAAAATAAAGGTTCCTGTGGCCAGGATTCTCACCTGACTCTGGTTGGCTAGCTCACTACACACATGTGGGCAATATGTTGTTATTGACTCTATATAAAAGAGCCCTGCCCAGTGCTTTGCACGATGCAGTGGCATGGCTGTGGAACAGAGCAGAGGCTGGAGTGGTGGCAGTGCCAAGGACAGAGGCCCAGAGGATGGCTGTGTGGGATGGCTGTGCAGGCGGAGGGGCTCAGAGGACAGCTGTGCAGAATGGCTGTGCAGGCAGAGGGGCTCAGGGGCAGAGACTGGATTGCTGCATGCAGACTTGTTCTGAGTGGATGAGATTTTAGTGACTGACCTGCCACCATGGAAATAAAGTTGGGTATAACTCTTTCACTCCAAGAACTTTCTACTGTCATTTCTTTGGTCACACTGAGTCCATAGTGAACTTACCCAGGGCTGAAACCCATTGGCAAGACAATCATCACTTAAAATCAAATAATATAAACAGTTGAAAGGATGAATTGTGGTATATTCACACAACAGAATACTATATTGCAATGAAAAAGAATTGAGGTGGCAAGCAACAATATAGACAAACCTCACAGACAATATTGAGCAAACAAAGCCAGATCAAAAGAATACATCCAGCATAATTCCATTTATGATGTAGTTCAAAAACAGGCAAAACTAATTTATGGTATTACAAGTCAGAACAGGGGTTACCTCTGAGGAAGGGGTTAAAATGTGGAGGAAATACCAGGGTACTGGGGGGCTAGATGTTTTCTATTTTGTTCTGGGCAGTGGTTACGTATATACAAATTCATCAGGCTGCACATTTAAGACTTGTGCACTTCACTGAATGTAAGTTACAGCTTAATTTTTAAAATAGTATTAAAAATCAGTTTCTTTGAAAACATGTTTATTGCCCAATTTGCATTATAAAAAATTATATATATAGCCTACAAATTATCTCTTAATTCAACAGCACCCAATATAGTTTCTCAAGGTAAAAAAAAGAGATAAAAGGCACTGCTAATGTCATTCAGGAACTGAGAAACTTTACTGTACTTCAGGATTTCTAAAAATGTCATCATTCCAGTTAGGAGCTCTTCAGCATTACCCTATTAATAATGATTCTTTATAATGTGACACTGTTTTTTGGTCAGGAACTGGTGTTTTTTAAGCTAGAAATATTTAGGGTATTCTATAATACCCAAAACGGTAGTTATGTAAAAGAAACAGCTTTAAACAACATCTAAAACAACAGTGAACATGCCAGAAAAGAAACTTCCCCAAGGCTTTCCGCTTAGGATGAAGACAAAACTCCTAACCCATGGCATATGAGTCACTCTTGGTAGCCTCTCGGTCTCATTTGCACAGTGTTCTGCCTTAATCGGTCCACTCTAGCTTCCTTACATTCTATCAATTGCCTACACCATTCTTTCTCCAGATACACCTCCTCACATGTTGTTCACTATTTGGAGAGCCCTCCCCACCCCTGTGTTACATTAATTTCTACCCATCCTTCAGTTCAAAATCATTTGTTAGGGAAACCTCTGAAAGGTTCTCTGAAGCACCTGTCATGGCTGAATTTTACATTTATTTATATGATGCCCTTCCCTAACACTGAAATTATAAGCCACATTATGGCATACATCTATGTTTGTTTTTACTCACTCACTGCCCTGCTTATGAAAGGATAGCCAGAGAGGTAGCCAAGGGAAGAGAATATTTGGGAGGAGAGACAGGATATTCATAGGATTTGAATGTCTAGAGGTTGAGGAAAAAAATCATTTCAGGATGGCATTAAAAAATGAAGCAACTAGTGAGGCTGAAGACAAATTTTAATGTCAGGTGCCTATTGCTATAACAGGACAAACAGGGGCTATAGGCCTAAATATATTCATTCCATATGGCCAAACACTGACCTTAAGACTTTAGTTTCCAGTACTTTTAAACATTCACTTTGGTTACAAAGAAGCTTCATTCCAGATGACTCATTAATTACTTCTTATATCACAACAAAATACAGGCAATAGGAAATGATAAATTAACATAATCTTATATGGCTTCTGACAGCATTTTGTTATTCATTGAATGAGCCCGATGTCTCTTCTGTTTTGAAAATGACAATTTTATGGTCAAGTAAAATATCTTTCCAGGCAAAATTTACTTACAGTCTTGCCTATGATAAAAATTAAAAAAAAATACCTTGAGTAAACTATCAGATAATATGCCACGAATGTTAAATGAATTCATCATGCTGAATTTTGTGGCTTAAATCAGCCTATAGTCATTGTAACAGTGTTCTGACTTTTCTAGTTGTGAGAACATGTCTTTGGAATGCAAATCCTCATATTTGAATCTTGGCTGATTATGGATAGATGTGACTTTGACCAAGTTAACTTTTGTGCTGTAGTTTCCTTAATGTAAAATGGCATAATACTACTACATATTCATATAGCAATATTCCATGGAGTAATGAAATGGGAAATATTTAGAATCATTAAATTTGTTGGATTTCCAAGGTAAAATGAATATTAAATAGTTAATTCTATATTTTATAATCAACATTTTAGCATCATTAGTATAAACCATCTTCTTAAAAAGCTATGAGAAGGCAAAGAAACCTTTTTTGATTTGATTCCATTTCAAACAGCACATTAGCACACACATATTTCTTATTTTAGTTTCCTCCTCCAATAAGTAGTTCCACCTGGATATTAGATAATGAGTAAAAGGCCAAAAGTTGGTAAGACATATAGGGAGTGATTTCAGAAAAAATTACATGAGTCCTCACATAAAAAAGACCAAGTTGCTCTGTATTTATAGCTATTTTAAAGCTGGGGGAAAAAAATAACAAGGATACGTTTCCATTAGTACTCAACTCTCACCACAATCAAGTTCTGCTAACAGAAGAACATGGGCTTCTTCAAAGTCAATGAATAGTGAGAGGTTAGCAAGGGAAAAGGCAGCCTGTTTTCAGTTAAACTTTTTTCATAAAGATTCTGGATGTCCAAATTGGGCTTTCTAATATGTCAGTGAAACTCAGGGTACAGGGTTCTGGAACTATCATTTTAAACGGTCAAGTACTATATAAAAGAAATAAGAGAAACTATTTTGAAAAACACTTCAAACTATGTTTGAAAACTGGTCAGTTATTTTTAAAGGGGCTGTAAATTTGAGGCTTGAATTGAAGCAAATGGCTATTTGAATTTTTATTGAACTATAGAAATTAATTGCCAAATTATCTATCTCAAATGCAATATGCAGAGCTGGACTGAGAAGAGTATTGCCACTAAATTACAGGAACAAGTTGAGTTAAGAAGATTGGGTTGACTATTTTATAAATTATCTCTCTGCAAACTTCCAACTCTGCATTTTGAAGAATAGGAAATCCACTTTGTATTGCTAACTAGTTGGTCAGAATACCCACTTTCTAATACTGATACTATCAAAATCATCTTCTCTCTCTCCAAAGATTATTATGCTTTGGGGAAGTTATTTTCATTGATGTTATTTCTAAATCTTTATCTAATAACTTTCACTTTGACAGAATCTAACTATAGTTTTTCTCTAAGGCAATGGTTCTTAGAAGAGGTGGAGGTGGGGTTAATTTTTCTCTCCAGGCATTTAATGATGTCAGGAGACATTTTTGGCTAAAACTACTTGTGGGAGGGGGCGCTGCTACTAGCATCTAGTAGGTAGAGGCCAGGGATAGTGCTAAATATTCTGCAATACACAGGACAGCTCTCCACACAAAGAATTATCTATTAATTCAGTGTTGATAGTGTCAAGCCTGACAGACCATGCTCAAAGACAGAAAGTTAACTTTCAACATTTTCATATTTTAAGATGAATAGCATCTGTATCAAGTCACATTTTTAACAATCTAATGCCAGTTTATGTTGTTTCTTAGACCTTAGATCCTGTAACTGTCTATGCTTTCTGTCAACATAAATGAGATAAATTACAGTAGTAATGTCTTGATTGCACAAAATCAGTTCCATACAACATAGAACATGAAGTAAAACAGTATAAAATTAAGGCCATAAATACTTGCATTTGAAAAGAATTTAGAAATTCTCAGAAGGAAATGGTCTGCTAGGTACTAAATGCCTTAAAGTAAAAAATTTTGACCTTATTTTGACACTAGTTTGAGGATTAGGCATTTTCCTTTACTCGGTTGTTCTTAGTCATGTTACTGGACGACTACAAACCCTATTTTGCAAAAACATACAAAATCAAATGTCAGAATGGTGGCCTAGGAAATTCTTCTAATATTATGTAAGATAATTTTTAAATGTTTAATACCCATGGTTATTATTTTTAATAAAAAAGCCAAGTAAACTTTCTGACGTGGGGTCTGAACACCCATTTTTTACACTTAGTATAATACATACTATATAGTGACCTGTTAATATAAACTCAGAACGTTCTCACTGACTTAATAAAAGCATACATACAAATAAACACAGAATAAATACTGGTATATAGGGATGTGTTTTTTTGCTTATCTCTGATTTTTTTTAACATTCTAGAAAATTAGACCCCAGTACACTCTAATGCCTAATTACATGCCTAATATGCATTGAAATGGTATTTAACGAATGCAATAGGTTGTACATTTGTAGGACCAGCAATCTGTCAATTCTAATTCACTAGATTCCACAGCACGTGTTAATTGACAAAGGGAAAGGGACTGTTCTCGCTCTTCTCTCCGCACGTAAAGGTGCACGCAGCACTGCTCCAGGCGCCAGGGTGAGCGCACCCCGAGCGCAGCCCACATCTACCGTTACCTCGGCGTCTGGGCTATCGGGACTCCGAAGCGCCCTTCCCTCACCAAAAGCGGCCGGGCGGACACGGGTTGCCCCCGCCAGCCCAGGGGCCGACCCTGCCCTGCACTTACCCGTCACGCGAATGGACTCCAGCATCGTCCCGCCGAAGTCGCGGTTGTCGAGCTCCGCGGACGCGGGAGGCGAGGGCCGGGCGGGAACCGACTGGGTCGCCTCTAGTCTCTGGCGCGGGATTCTGAGTCTGGTCGCGACGGAAGGTGGCTCTCAGCGACGTGGGGCAGGGTAAGGTGGGTAAGGACGGACGAAGACTTGCGGTTGTGAGCTGCACTCCCTCAAGCCGCAGGTGTCGGAAGGTACACACGCCGGCCCTACGGTGGGCAGCCGCGCTCGGAACCCGCCTCAGTGACGTTGCGGCTCCCCCGTTGCTAGGAAACAGTCATTGCAGTCCGCGCGCTACGCTTCACGGAGCTTGCGCGCCGCTTGGGGCGCTCGCGCACTGCTGGCCGGGCTGGCGAGAGAAGAGGGGGAAAACTACAATTCCCGGCGTGCACAGCACAGGCCCTGAGCTTCGGGCCGTGCGGGTTGGGGCCGTGGGTTACACGCATTTTGACTGATTATCCCCATAAACATTTGTGCGTTATTGAAAGGGCTTAACGCCGAGATGGCTTCACAGGAGAAGCGGTGGTGTGACACGACACTTAGCCCCAGCTTGGGAATTGCAAAGCCAATCTCCTCCGCCCTTTCGTTAACTTAAAAAGTGAGGAAAAGCTAAAACAACTTAGGTTGAGGTGGTAATAATAAGCACCTTCATTATTCGAGCTTAAATGTATTTTATGAGTGTGCAATTGATAGGGGCTGAATGATGTTTTTTGGTTTATTGTTTGTGGGAAACGTAGAGTCTACCGTTCAACAAACTTTGGGAGCCCAACGTGCAAGGTTGTGCGACAGGCCTTGAGTACATAACAAGAAAATGAATTAAGTCCCCAGGAGCTTAAGAGTCTAGCAGGAGCTCTTAAGATAGTGTTGGCATTGTCAATTTGCAGAGCGGCGTCTTCTCTTTACGCTTCCTAGGTTGAGATAGGACATAGAAATAAGTGGGACGATTTTTCAAACTCAGGAACAAAAGAAAAGTTGAAGTTATGTCAAGAACTTCAATCTAAGAATGACAGGGAACATCTGAAAATTTGTATCTTTTTCATCAATTATGAAGTAACAGTGGAAATTCAACTGTATCACAAATAGTGAACAACCCCAGATCATATTCTGTCAGAAAATTCTGTGAATGCTATCTTCAAAATATATCCAGAATCCAGCCATTTCTCACTATCACCACTGCCACTATTCTGGTTCAAGTCACCACCATCTCTTGTCTGGATTATAGCTATAGTCTTCGAAATTATCCCTGTATTTCCACCCTTGCTCTCTTGACTTTATTCTCAAAACTCAGTGGCCAGGGTGAACTATTTAAAAGACTGATAATGTCACTTCTCTGGGCAAAACACTTCAAAAGCTTCCTTCCTTAGCTATGAGGTCTTTTATGACCTAGTCTCCTGCTATCAATTTGATCTTATCTCCCACCACTCTCTATCCTGGTCTCCTCCAGGCACACTGACTTCCCTGATATATCCTAACTATCAAATACTGTTTCGCCTCAAGGCCTTTGCAATTTGGGATCACCTCTGCCTGAATGTTCTTCTCCAGATATCCACAAAACTAACTTTCACTTCTTTCAGGACTTAAAACCTAAATGTCATTTCTCAATGAGGCTTTCTTTAGCCACTCAGTTTAAAATTCTGCTCCCTTCCCTGATTTCCTATCCCCTTCACTGATTTTCTTCTCCCCTTGTCGCTTGACATTATCTAATTTATTATATATTTTACTGAATTATTTGATTATTATCCATCTCCATCCCTAGAATAAAATTTCTGCAAGTGAAATTATTTTTGCTTGTTCACTGCTGTCTTCCTAGCATCTAGAATAGTGCTTGGCACACAGTAGGTCTCAATAAACATTTGTAAATTAACAAATAAGTAGATAATAGAAAATGTCCATTTTAATGGTAACTCAAAGAAAATAGAATGGTATAAAATGGATATATAGATAAAGAACAAATCTTTTTTAAGTTAAAGCACTGGATGTAGTAATGAGCAATGAATCCATTGCATTCATAAGAGTAGTTATTCTTGCAGCATATGTCCTAAGGAAAAAGGCTGTAAATGAACCTTACATACCTAGCTTCCCTGTATACCTAAAACTAAAACCTTTCTAAGTTTGCTATAAATACATCTGTTACCCCTTCCAATTTTGTAGATTTTGGGTCATTGAAGTCTAAGAACTGTAGTTCTCAAAAAACAAACACTCCTAAAATATGTTTCCAAGTCATGTGTTCAGCATCTGTGTGAAAAATTGACTCTGAAAGTTTATACTATAGCATGCTTACTCACATCCATTTGCATTATATTTTGAGGACCAAGATGTATTATTTTATTCATTCCACAGGTATTTATATACAAGGCACTGGACTTAGTGCTTTTAGAATACAATAAAAGACATGAAACTTGTCCCTAAGAAACTTACTGGCTAGTAGGGAAGGTTTTATACACACACATGCATGCATAATACAAATTAGAAAATGATGTGCACTAAAGATACACCTCCATCTTCAACATTCCATTAAACTTAAGAATTCCAAAAAGAAACAATTTGATGACCCTGTATTAGCCCACCTAAAATATTATTTTATTCTTTATTTTTAAAATTACTTTTATGTTCACCCTACCAATATTTCCTTGTGGATCACTTTGATTTCTAAGTATCTTTAGTGATAAGTGTTACATAAAGGTGCATATCAATTTAGTCAAAGCATTTTTAAAAGGTATTCTTTGTATACTATAAGGCATTGAAGTATTCTTGCTAACAAAGTCGTGAATACAAAGAGTTGATCTAATTCTTACAGAACTAGTACTGTCATCAGCTCCTTTTACCATTTGCGCCTATGCAGTTATGCATCCTCATCAAGTTTGGTGCATCTGCTTTGTTAACTATTGATTTGTGCTACGCTTGCTTAGTGTTTCCATTGGGTACAGCATCTGCAGCTGTCGGCTTGGCTGCTTTTGAGTTGGCATTGTTTTTACATACCCACCAGAACAATGAACAATTCCATCTTTCTGAGAAACTATTCTGTATATCTGTTTCTATATAAACCATTAATATTGAGACAAAAGAATTGATGTGATTATCAGTACTATTCCATTTTCAAAGCTCTGATTGCAAAATAAAGTTAAGAATTTATTAAAACTGCTTTTAAAAATTTAGGTTTATTTTTAAGTTTGCACTTCCCCCCTGTTAAAGTTTTTCTGAACTGAAGTTTTCCAATAATAGCCACAAATGCTTTTGTAGTTTGTAACATTATACTTCACTTTATTGTTACAGTTATTTGGATGTATGCTACCAACATTACATGGTAGATCATTTTGATTTCTGAATTTCTTTAATAATGATTTCCATTCAGTTTTAGAAACAAAAATGATAGGAAAATAGGGATTTTGATAGAAATATTATTATTATCAGTAACTTTTGTTTCATTAGCTTTCATGTTAATCTGTACATTTCATAGTCTGTACATGTTACATGGCAAACTATTTATAGCGAATAAATGGAGTTTGCAGATAAAAAAAAGTCAGTCAAAACATCTTTGTTAAGAGAGGCTTTTTTTTTTTGGAAAAAGATGCAGGTTTTTTTAAACACTGTTCTTTCTAAAGACTTAGAACACATTTGCTCATTTACCTTGAATGAGGGAGTTAGGTATTAAGGACCAAGGATGAGATGGTGTAGACTGCAGAAGGCTGCTAATAGGTATTGCTAGTTTTAGTGGAGAACAATTAACTATAATACTTCACTTTCTACAGCAAAAGTTAAGTTTGCTAGGAACAGATCAAGTACGTATTATGCTTGAAACTGAAAAAAAGTTTAATTTCTTAAGAAGTTATCATAATAACTAAAAACTAGAACATTACAATAGTATTCATTTTAAAATGTTGGATGAGAGTTTAAAAGAGTGAGGGGAGGAAAAGCTTATAGGCAATACTTTTGACTTCCCTTCCTGTTATATTGGAAGCAATTTATAACACTATGTCATTGAAAAGACAGGACCTGAGGAAAGCTAATCTGCAGCCTGCCATTATAAAACAGAGTGGTTCTAGTTGCGACACTCAGTTCTAAGAAACATTAACAGAAGCCTCAGGGCAAGTTGTAAACAGTGTTCCTTGACTCATAAAAGAAAAAAAAATGCCAGAAATAGTTGGTTTCTGTGGCTTTTAAAACAATTTTCAGTGAAGTTTGGATGCTTTCAGTATATCTGTATTGAGAGAATGAAATGTTTTCAGTATGTTTTTTTCAGGAGAATGAAAAGCATTAAGTGGAAGCCAAATAAAAGAGGTAAAACCACCTCTGCCTTTTCACCTCAGTACGAATGGTCAGAACAGCAGAAAACCCCTGGGAAACAATTTCTTTTTTTTTTTTTTTGGACAGAATTTTTTGTTGTGAATGACTGGAGAGGAAGGATATTTTTTAATTAGACAAAAGAAGATATCGCCCATTATATTTTGAAGAAACCAAAATGTACATTAATTTAGTCCTTCCACAGATATTTAATAAATGCCTACTATATACAAGACAAAAAGAGAATGTTAAAGACATGACACCTACCCTCAGACTACTTATTGATAGTGGATACATACATATGTAAACATAATGTATACACATCAACCAGCCCTTGTGCACAAACATCAGGGATGCTGTGGTGAGTAAATCAGATAGAGTCCCAGTACTCTGGGAACTTAGAGTGGGAGAAACAAACAACAATCAAATGAACAAATGATGCAATTTCAGATACAGATCAGTGCTATGAGGTACAGTAAATCAGGGAAGTATGCTAGATGGTAACCTGGAGTAAGGGGTGTCAGGAAAGGTTTTTTTAAGGAAGTAACTTGAGCTGAAACCTGAAGGATAAAGTCAGCTACAGGATATTGGGGGGGATAAGCAGTCTAGATAGAGGGAAGTGCAAAGGCAAAAACCCTGAGAATGGGAATGATCTTGACATGACCCTGGGGCTATATGAAGTCAGCACGGTTGGAGAAAAAGTGACCTGGGATAAGTGGTAGGAGAAAATATCTCAGAAGTAGGCAGGTGTCAGGGAAAAGAGTTTGGACTTTATTCTGTGTGCCAGCAGAAACCACTTTTAATTTTAAACAGGGCAGTGATATAATATGGTTTTTTTTTTTAACATTGTATTGACTGCTCTGGGAGCAATGGATAAAAGGGTGACAGTAGAAGTAGGGAAACTAGACAGGAGACTATTACAGTTGGCCAAATGAGAGTGATG